GGTGGAATTTACGCATCTCATTTACACCCTTTTCCTGCAGATAGAAGAGTTTGTTGAATCTGACGTGACATGTTCGTACGAACCCTTTGTACGAACAAAACTAAGAGAAATTTAGGATAAGAATACGAACATGTTCTTGGATGAGGCCCAATGTCTCTAGAATGCCAAATCTGTCCATCCATATGTCATGATTTGTGTCTGTGTTAATGTTTTATTTTAGTTTCTGTCTTGTCATCTGTTTTCTTCCTCCTGTCTGCCTTTGCTCCAGAACCACCCACTCTCACCTACTCCTCATGTTTCTCTCCCAGGTGTTTCCTGTTTGTGCTCTTTAGTCTCACCTTTATTTTCTGAGTCTTGTCTTCACTTCCCTGTCTGATCATTGTGCTGTTCACAGCCTAAATGTTTGTTGCCTTGCCTTGCCTTGCATTGCCACGCAACACCAAGTGAGTTTTTGAGCTGCCCTGTCAGCAATTTTTGTTTAATAAATCTTTATTTTTTTTCCTTTTTAAAAGCTGCCTGCACCCTGGGTTCATTTTTGCCAATTCGTAACAGAATGATCAGACCAACAACTGAACTCAGCAGGCAGCTTTTCTCCTCTCCACCCACAACTTGTGCTTTGACAGCTTCTCCCCTCTCAAAAATCCTGGGGCTCCTGGAGGGGATGCAGGGTGCGCTAGCTGGCCTTAGGGTACTCTTCGCTTCAGGGTGTCCTTCAGAGTTGGTGGCACCAGAGGTTTCAGAAGGCCCCCCTCCCCACCCCTCTGATTTGGACCCTCCAGCTCTGGTTCCTGTGGGCCCTCTAGCTCTGGTTCCTATGGGCCCTCCTGCTCCGGCTCTGGTTCCTGCTGGTCCTGCTTCATCTCTGGTTCCTGCTGGTCCTGCTCCGACTTTGGTTCCTCCGGACCCTCCAGTTCTGGTTCCTGTGGGCTCTCCAGCTCTTGTTGGGCCTCTTGCTGAGTCCTCTGCTCTTTAGGATCCTGGTTCGGCTGCCGTCGCGTCTTCGTCTCCTTTGTTGCCTTTGGTCACCATCGCCAAGGCTCTGGCTCCCTCAACCTCCACCGGTTCCTCATTTGCTCCTGCCTCCTTCCTCGGCTCCACATCTGCTCCTGCCTTCTCCCGCGACGCCACGTCTGCTCCTGCCTCCTCCCTCGGCTCCATGTCTGCTCCTGCCTCCTCCCTCTGGCTCTGCTCAGCTCCTGTGGCCTCGTCTGATGTGGAGTGGGGGTCTCCAGGTCGTCCTCCTGACTTTGGCCTCTGTGGCAGGGAGGTCCATGGCCGGCCTCC